TCGGTTTTTCGTGAAGATTTCCACGCCACGCTCCCAAGGAAGGAAGCCGAATCAGAGCATTTTTGGTGTTAATAGGAAAATTCATTACTACTTCTTATACACTTAAAAAAATCTCGTTTACTCTTTTTTCATAGACCTAATTAGATCAAAGAGATGTTTTGACATCATTCTTTTTTTTTTTTTTTGTTGCAGGTGAGATTTAAACCCCTACTTACAATCTAAATTGATGGCCACTGTATCAAGTTCAGTGGTTAAAAAAAAAATTGTTTACTCGTTTGGTTAAAATTCATCAAACACTATTATTATTATAACTATCATTGACTAGTTAATAGTTATTAATTTGTTTGTTAAAACTCATAGGCACCGTTTGGACCCCATCTCATTTAAAATGGTTAACTAAAGTTGTTAGTAATAATTCACCAAATCCATTTCCTTTCCAAATTTTGCATATGGAGAGACAGGCAGTGGAGAGGCAGAATTGCCTGCGGAAGAACCAACCAAAACGGTGATGAAGTAAATAATTCCGCCTTTGGAAGGAGGGAGTTGTAAGCCCGAAATTCCTTCCACCGCAACCAACTGCTATATTTCACCTTTCTCTGGTTTCAAACCCACAAACAAAATTTCCTTTTCCTTTTCCTTTTACAGTTGAAGCACATAAAACGTTAATGACAATCCTTTCCACCCTATTTACTTACTAGTGACAAATGCAGCAGCTCTTTAGAACACTTCTGGTAGGGGCCTGCCTTCCAGGAATGACTTGAATAGCACGAGCGATCTCTCTGGCTGAGAGAATGGAGCTTCATGAGAAGCACCCCTAATTGTTGCAAATGAGAGCAAATTTCCATAAACTTGAGTCCATCCACCAACCTGCGCGCAGTAGGAGAAGGCCATGGAACCAAATGTCGATTAGGAATTTGCATGCAGAAACGGTCTGCAATGACCATGATAAAGTTTGTGTTATTCACTTGTACCTGCTGCCCTGCAAACCAAACTCGATAAGGTGTGGTTGCGTTCAATCTTAACTGTTTTGCCAATCCATGGACTAGGCTGCGGCTTCCAGTTAGTGGGATTACAGAGTCCTGATCACCACTGTTTGCAAAATTTCGTTTGAGAATGCTATTATAGGACATTCTGTTCTTAACCAACGGATGACAGAACATAAAACCATGAACTTTATGCAAAACGTTTTTGAGATCATCCGAATAAAGAAGCGGTGCATTTACCTGTACACCAATACTGTAATTCCTTCCTTGATAAGTGATCCTACAATTGAGATTGTAGGTATCTCTATGTCAAGCAGCTGATAATCCAGAATGCTGTGGCAGAAGGAGAAATTTCAATTTGTAGTAAAAGTAAGAATGAGAATCACTATGTTGGTAGGCTGATTTCTTGTTAGGATGATTGCAAGTTGAGATCAATTCTGCGTCTATCATTTTAGTTTTTTCTTTTTTTTCGTTTCTATGGCAACTACTAAAATCTCTTCCCCGTGGTAATGGTACATAATCTTTGAAATGCTATTAAGAAGTGAAGGAATTACTCGCTGCAAACAAGCCATCTCCGCACTCCTACAAGCCTGGCATGAAGCGCCTTCTGCACATCTTGGCGGTTCAAGTAATTGACAGTTTCATCTTCTATACAAACATCTATCCTCTCTGCGTTTTGCTGGTCAATAGTACAAAACCATTGTTAAGACCCGGGAGACATATCTGAGAATCTTAACAATCTGGATAACAGAATAAGGCTGAGATAATAACATCTGATCTGAAGGGCAACAACAAAAACTTACTTGTGGACTAATGATCCTGGACTGGGAGAGCACTGAAGAAATACAGACATCAAGTGTGACATCATATTTGTCCACAAACCTACTGGTTTCTCTACTAACTTGGCTCATGACCTTCGAGCAAATAGGAGAAACAGCATCTCTGTAGTATTCACTCACATATCGAGAATAGTTACAGAAGGAAGTGAATAATTTGTAAGTTGAATCTGATATCAGTCCATGTGACCAGAAGTACTCAGCTCTTGAATTCAAGTCTGTGGCATATTCAAGAACTGGATTGCCTAGCTGCAACAAAAATAAAGAAGAAAAGAAAGAGAATTATCAGTCTTCAGCAAAAGCAGCAAGAGAAAAGGGAATTCTCTTTTGATGTTAACTTCGCTCTCTCACTTTTCAACTTTATGGCTCCTTAACCTGTTAGAAAAAGTGGAATTCTGTTTCTTCTTGGGACCGTGGAAGAAAGATCATGAGTTTCTTCTTGTTATTTTGGCTGATCAATCATTCTGTTATCAATCCAGCATAATTCAGGAGACTTCTATAACTTTTATTTGGCATGACTATATTAATTAACTCTTACAGCAATTCCTTTCAAGTTGAACAGCTTTTCCTTTTTGTTGAATTGAATCATGAGCTCCGCAAGTTGAGGTACATAGTGACCTGGTGGCATCACCCCAAAAAGTTTCAAAAATAAAAGAAATAACCACCTTTAGGCATTCTAAGAAAAAAAGAACATGGCAACTTTAGGAAGATACCTGCATAACTTTCTCCAGTTATAAACAAATTTCTGTCCCTATACTGTGGGAATTGGAGGAACCAACGCTGCAAGAACACAAGATTGTCCCTAGCTGAAGAAAATCATGATAAATCCAACTTTAGAAGTAAGACAAGTATCCAATTTAGCTTCAGAAAGACCGATTTTACAAACGATTGTCTGGACTGCTAATATAATAGCATCGGATGACAAATATTTATAAACTAAAAAGCAAGTCTTTTTCGTAAAAGTTCACAATCTTTCTTAAAAAGAATATTCTACAGCCCCAGAACTTATGTTTCCTGAATCACACGTCCAGTCCAATTTTAGATGATTGATAGATTTATAAGCAGAAAATCATGATTGAGGAGAAGAGACGTACCTGTTATAGCATCACTCACAGCATCGTAAGAGGAGGAATCATCCGCAAAAGAGAACCCCACCCCAACCGGTGTCTCCAAATATAGCACGTTTGCCTCTGCAATATCATGTCCAACCAATTATCATTTCTTTGCTTTTTTTTTTTTCCTATTGAATTACTTGCAAAATTCGAACTTTATCAAAAAAATTAGATGTTTATGATGCATTTCATGGTTGTAATTCTCACCTCTATTCCAGCTATGCTCATTCCTTACCAGACCCTGTCCATTGGGTCTAAAAGGTCCATTTTCAGAAAATGCACCGACGCCAAGAGAAGAGCAACCAGGTCCTACAAGAAAGCAAGCACAATTAAGCAAAATCTGGCCAAGTAATCTTGAGGGCAGTTGAATATGGAGGAAGAAGAACTGCTGCAGACCTCCATTCAACCACAGGACCAGAGGCTTTGAAGCACAATCTATTTCTGCCTCGACAAAGTAGTAAAAGAGAGCTTTTCCTTTCTTGTCATCAACAGTAACATAACCAGAGAACTGTTGGAATCCCACTTGTGGTTGTCCGGGTAGCTGAGTAATCATGTCAGGATGAGGCATTGGAGAAGACTCAACCACTAGAAAACAACATAGAAGAAGCAACAAGATGGCCATTTCCTCGACTGTTGAAGCTTCTGATTTCATGATCTCAAGAATGTAACGATCAACCACACACTAGTCAGCACTTATAGACCCAGTGAAATAGTGGAATGAGTGATAAATAGTAGTATTGCAAGCTAATGGAGAGCATGGAGTCATGGCCTGCTCACGAGGCAGACTAAACAAATAGCATGCCTTTCTCAAAAAAAAAAAAGGAAAAAGAAAAGAAAATAGCATGCCTTGGTGATTTCTAGTTCTTTATCACCATAATCTTTGTTTATGAGCAGGCCTGAACTAACACACTAATGATCAGAAAGTGGTACTAAAAAGAAAGGCACTAAAATGAGTACACGAGAAGTTATTCCATTCAAGTCTCAAGAGTCCGGGCTTGACTTGCTTACATATGGGCTCATTCGTCGGCAAAAAGGACTGGGTGTTTTAAAAAGTGAAAAATGAAGAGTATCCTCAGGTGCTTTCAAAATACAAAATTATTTATTTTCTCACAAACAGCAGATTTATTGCTTAAATTTGTTTGTTTATTTTAGTTTCGCCTTCCCAAAAATCATGAACGCAGAGTGAAAAATAGGTTTTTTTTTACCATGTCATGCTTTTAGGCTCGAGCCTTGACAAGGTAAGGGATGTTCCACAGAAAGTGGCTTTACAGTACTGCTTTCACTACTGTGTCTCAGAAAATGTGGGACACTGACCACCATCATAATGTCTCCTAAGAACATCTGTGTAACTTCATTTTCAATGCACGATATGATAGGTATTGTAAGAATTTCTTTAGTATTTTGTTTGGTTTTGTCGTGCAGAATCATATGATCACTGCCAAGAACATGATGCAGAGTATCTTCGTGGATTTCCTGAATTGCTTGTTTGGTTGGATTCGGTTGATTTACAAGTTCTACAAGAAAATAAAAATTTTTTCTTTTGATTTTCCTGGTTTGCCGGGAGATTAACATTTGCAACGTCTGCAGTTTGAAAGAAAACCACAGCTGAAGCAGTTACTACTGACTCTGGGCTGACTTGAGCTTGTTCTTGAATTTCTTCCAAATCTGCAACTTCATTTCTTTTTGACAAAGTTAAGATGACAGAAAATCATCTTTACATTCTCAAGCCTTCCAAGAGTATCATCTGACTCAACCAAAAACAAACATCTCATACAGCAATTTTCCAACAGTCCCTTGATTTATTTATTATTGTAGTAATATGAATGAGAACGCAAAGCCTAGAGCCTTGAGGGCTGCTTTTGAAGAAAGAAAAAAAAAAAAAAAAAGAGAGAGAGAGAGAGAGAGCTTGAGAGCTGCTTGTCTCTGACCTCTGTGAATAAAGTGTTGTCTTGTAATGATGAGCTATCCACTAGCATAGCTACATCATAGCTTGCAAAATAGGGGTCCCCCCACCAACCTTCTGAAAAACTACTACCAGTAAGTAGAAGGTGCCCTTTGGCCTTTACAAGAGAGGGGTTGCATATACTCGAAATCTTCTCTGTTTCCCACTACCCTCCTATATAACTGCCAAAGACAGACAGATAGATAATTTGTACCAGCAAAAAAACACGCATATTTCCAATTATTATTGCAGCTAGCCTCCCACTTGACCTGCAACGATCATGCAGGCATTGGCCAATTCTCCTCCTGCGCCTGAAGGAATAAATTATCAGACCTCGAGACTAATTTATGACTGGCCAGCTGCTTTTAACGCCCCTGCAAGGGTCCAGGTAAAATAATATTTGTCTTCTATTGTTTATCTTTACTCATGGGGTGGCTGGCTGGGCTCCGTAACATGCCATGGATTAAGCCTGTCGTCCCAAGTTAGGTGCATAGGGGCGCACAAAAAACACTCAAATCAAGGTAATTTTGTCGCAGAACTGTTCTGCTGATATGGAGGATGGCATCATAAGTGTTGGATTAATGAGCTGTTCAAACTTACGTTGATGCAACTTTAGCCGAAGGTATTAATATTGCTTTGCAGGAGAAACTTGTATTTTACACAAAGGAACCTTGTAATTTTATCTGCCTTTCTATGATAATTTTCATTCTAACAAAAGGGAATAACATGAAAAATTTTACGCACGTCCAAAATTTAGCAAAAGGAATGAAACAAAATATATGCACTTCCAACCTCCAGCACTTAAATGACTCCTGATTTGCTCTTTTTATAAAGTCGAGCTGGGAAACAACAATATACACTGTTTGAAGATTCGTTAGTGAAGATTGTCGCTTGACTGGGCAAATTTGGACATCACTTTCCGGGTCGGTGGAATATGAAGATGCTAGCCAGTATTCGAGTGGAAATCTGGCTCCCCTTCCGCGATGACCACTCAAATGTTCTCCAGCTTCATGTCTTACCTCACCTGGTATTAAAAGAAAGAAGATGGCTTATTTTTTGACAAACTCTAATTTGAACCTTCAAGGAATCCAAACATGTCAACCCAGTCCATCAAAAGTTGATGGTTTCCATTTAGCCCATCAATCAAGCTTTTGCTTTTCCCATGTCAGTTTTTCAGTTCCAATGCAAAAGGGCTAGCAACTAGTAATTTGCAACCTCATTAGACGCATGATTGATGACCATTTTTGGCATTTGCATCAAGATCCTTGAATGAATTTCAATGTGCACTTGAATGGCCGGTAAAATGCGTGCCGCTTTTCTGGCACGCTGCAAAGGTTGGAGCCCTGTGTGTGTGACTTGCTGTATTATGTTTGTGGGACTTGATTGGTTGTCATGGATAAGGTTATCATTTGTCCCATGACATTCTCCGTCCGTCACTCCCACTTTTACTACTGCCACTCCTACTACTTTAGCACTAGCTCAGCCTTTTTTAATCTTCTCCAATTCCCAAAGTAGCTTTTTCCCGAAAAATCATATGTAATTTCACGATAAACAATTGAGATAAATGCTTCAGATTTTTAAATCATTTGCTTTGACTTTCTTTATCCAGTTTTATAATCCTAAGAATTTATAACAATTAATTAATCCCCTTAAAATATATTTCATTTGTCACTTTACCTCATAACTTTTTTCTTATTTCACTTTATCCCCTATTATATAAAATTACCCCTCTATTATTCTAAATTCTTATCTTTTTTCTGGTCCCCTTTTTCTGTCCTTTATTTTCTTTGCCTTTTTCTTCTTTCTTTACTTATTTCTCTTTCCCATAAGAAACTTCATCTCAATGATCGAAGTTAAAAGAAAAAAAAAAAAAGAAATTGCAAAGATCTATTTTCACATCAAATGGTCATTAAATATTCAAAACCCTTCCCCAAAATAGCATTTTTTACACTTTTCAATTTTTTTGCTTTTTCTCTTCCTATCCCAATTTCTCATTTTATTCTAAAAAAAAATCACAAGAAGAATTTGCGACTTGATTAATGATCATTAATTGCCATTTGGTCAAAACATTGAATTAGCTTTTAATGCCTTTCCAAACTTCACCCATAAATCCAATTACAAACTCCAAATAAAGTTTTCTATTGAGATGATGCTTTTTTATTAGGAAGGATGGAAGAGAGAAGAAAAAAGAATGAGAAAAAGAAATAAAGTAGGAAAAATGAAAAGCCAAAATAATGAAAGGTAATTTTGTCCTATAGGAGGGTTATGTGACCAAAATTAAAAGTTAGGCGATAAGGTGAAAAATGGGATGTACCGTAAGAAGATTAATTATAATTAACGCTTTTCCTAATTTGCTGTTGAAATTTTCTTTGGAGTAAATAAAAAGAATGATCAGAGTGCGTGATATGGACAGAAGTTTCGTTTCAGAAATCAAAACCAGACCCTTTGTTCCCCAAAAGTGCCTTTGCAAAAGTGCTGCAAAGCAACATACTAATCACTTCTTCTAAGAGCTCTTATAATAAAAGTGCTTTCTGAAGGGCTGTGCAACCCCATGTGTACCTGATGTAATACGAGTTTTTTCTGAATGATTTAGTAAACCCGCATCTCCTGCGTCATCAATTGCTGGTTTAGCGGTCATCAGCTTAAAGCAGACATTCCCAGCCCAATTCTGAAGTCACATCCGACTTGGTTTCACGGTTAAATAAACCCCGCTTGCCACCTGACCCCACACCAAGAACATTCCAAATTAAATTAAAAGATATTAAAGAAATAGTAGTTTGAGCACTTGTTAAAAAGAGACTCAAGTGTTAATCTTTTTTTTTTTAAAAAAAATTACAATTAATTCAACACGTATCACAATTCAGAGGTGCAACAAATGCTAGCGTGCATATTTATACCATAATTTAGGTGTAATTTTTGTGTTTTAACGGGTGCCCATGAGAAAAATCCTTAAAAGAAAAGAAAGAAAGTCATAATGAGAGGCAACTCCCTGACTATAGCCGGAGGTTCCCACTATATTTTCTCATGTTCTAACGAAGTTTCAAAGACGTCTGAGACAAGGTACATTACTTTGGAGCAATTCAAAACAACTTTACAATTACGATTATCCAATAAATAAGGCAAATATTAGACCCCATTAGCTACAAATATGTCGAAGGAGCACACATGATACAACAAAAGATCTGGTACAACTAGTTTAAGTAAAAAGGTCGTGAATATTTAAGTTTGTACAGATATTCTGTGATGAAGTTCAATTCATACTGTACGAATCCCCAATGTACATATGACTGAAAGATCAATCAAAAAAATGAATATCATTGAACTTGAATACAAGAACAATGCAAAATCTTTATATATTGGTCAATCTATTATACAAATGGCTGCCTTTTCTTCAAAGGCTAAGACTCGCTCCACTTCTCAAATGACAAATCAACAGGGCATATACGAAAGAGCCTCCCAACGAGAAAAATTGTAGCCGAGATTGGTCTAAAAGAAAACTACCACAAATTACCTATGAAGTGCAAGTGGATCATGACGAATTGTCAGATTCGACACCTGGCATCAAAGTCGGAATAGATTGCTGTTCTAATTCCCTGCGAGAGGCTTCCCACAGCTGCTGTTCTATTCCCAATTTCCTCAGCTCTGTTAGGCCTCGTTCAACTGCAATGAAGCAGAAATTGCATGCCATTAGATCTGATAATTCTCAAACAAGCCCACAAGTGAGATAGTCATGATCCTTGTTAGCAGGAAATAATAATGCCTGAGAGTTGTTATCCCATATAAACTGAAATCCGTTACACCAGCAGATGTTCACATGCAACAAGAATTGCAGGGCATTTCCATGCTACTTGGACAGGGGACAAGCAAGAATCTACAATAAGCAAATGAGGAAAAGAAAAGCACCATCAACGGCATCATGTGATGTTGGCGATTGTGCACTACGGCTTATCCAGAACTGAAGTCTCTCGTCAGCTATATCCTCTTCAACACCATGATCTTTGGCTCTTCTCCAAAAGTACGCAAGCCAAGCCTGAAATATTGAAAAGCATGTAAGCAAGCTGGGATGAAATCCCATTACTCCAAAAAAGAAAGCATTATACACTAAAACAGCGGCAAAGAATATTAACAAAAAGATATACCTCCTTGAAGAGAACATCTTGCGACTCTTCTTGACTTAATTCTGCAAATATTGAAGCGAAATTACTGACATGCCTCTTTCTAATGGAAGGATACAAATGAAATGCTTAAACCAAGGAGACACTTCAATTATTTACTTTCGTCATCCTCTAGTCTTATATTGTTTAACAATAACACAATTAGAAGAACTCAACATGTTCCTTACCAAACGGCTCCATATATTTCGTCTCAATAGTTGATTTAGGTTCTGCAATTCAAGGACAAAAAAGTATTAGATGATTCTAATGAAATGTAAAGTCAATTGCTCTATTTTTATGGCAGAGATTTGAGGAAAAATGTTAATGAACAACTTCAAACATGTTCTCCAACAATCTATATATGTCACAAAACCATTACTGAAAAAAAGAGCTACATTAAATATTTTCTGTAAACAACCCAAAAACAGCCATTCACGATTGCAGAACTGCATGATAATTCTATTGAACTAAAACAACAAAAAACATGCCAATTCAGTTGAAAGGAGGAGAAAAGTCTGTAAATAGACAGGAAAAGGTGCCACAAGGTGACAGTGTGTTAAACATTGCATGACTTAGAAATCATCCAAGTTAACCTGGAGGACAAAAACTACCTCCTTGTTGGGTGATAATCTATTCAGTCGTCGAAGCCTATGCCTTTTGCTCTATGCTAATAGCATCTCTGGGTCTAAAGAATATCTCTAGAATCATGAAGGGCACAAACATTAAATTCTTGAGCCTGTTTTAAGGGTTACAAAACTCCAAAGGAACACAACGAGAAATCATATGCATGAAATGAAATGAAGTGGCTTGACTAGTTTGATGAAGTGAAGAAATTAAGATAGTAACAGGAACAGAAACTTTATCGCAGTCAGAATGGACATGCAGATGGGAATTCACGTGGTAGAATTACAGAATTACCCATTCAGATGAAAAACATGCCAACACACTAGGGGTGGAGCTGAGAACTCCCTACAACAAAGAACAAATTTGACGTGCTACACTCTTCAAAAGTAGGAAAATGTTTTTTTGCTAGACAGATTAACAGATTCTCAAAGACATGGCTTGAAAACTTGGTTTGTCAGAAAATGGGAATGCCACAATAATCACCAATCATCCTGCAAATGAGACTAAGCATGCCGTATTAAGATATAAGAGGATGCTTACATATTTATTCAAATTTAATGAAATGATGATAAAGCCAGATGATTGACCATACCCAAGAAAGAATGACGAACCAAACTTGAACGTCGGTGTTGGGCAAGTGCTAAGACAACAGCATCCTCAACCTTGATGGCAGCAGAAATAAGAAAGTAATAATTCATAAGCAATGACTCACCTATAATCAGAAATTAAAGAAGGAACAATTGCCAGAAAATATGTTACACTAGGGGGTCAAATGGGTTACCCAAATTAATTGGGTTTGGATGGAAGTGGGTCCCAGAGTTTTTTAATTGCCTCTCTGCCAACTATCATTACCTGATTACTAGTAGAGAAACAAGAAAATAACCATTCATAAGCAACAACTCACCTGTAATCCACAAGAAAAGAAGGGACATCAACCACAAATTAAACTAGGGGGGTCAAATGGTCATCCAAATTAATTGGGTTTGGGTCAAATGCTTCCTCAAGTTTTGGCAGCCGCAATTCACTCCATTTACTGGGTTGGTATGGTCATCAATAACCCACTTATGGAATAATATCAGCTTCAGACAAACAAAAGAACTAATTCCAACATTTATTTTAGGTCACATCTGAAGGCTTAATAACCAAGTTTAGCTCTGAACATTTTGATAAAGAAAACATAATCATTCCAAAATCAGTTGAAACATCAATGCCACAAGAACAGAAAAGGAAAGTGAATAAACAGGTCAACAACGATAGCAAGCAGGACCTAAAACATTTGAACTCCATCCATTTATAAAACATAGTTGAAGTAATCAAGAAACAAAATAACTGGGCAGAAAAACACAGTAGTCTTGAATGAACAACAACCTTCAAGGAAGCTAATTCCCTTAAGCCCATTTCAACTGAAAGCATGCTCTCAATATTTCCTTCCCCTGTTAAGTCACTTAAATTCCGTACATGTTTGTTCCTTCTTTCTGTATCATCTCCACCTGGATAATGTCAGAGATAATAATTGCTTAGTCATACTCACGCCCAGGACTGAAAATCTACTTAGCCATATAACCAAAATCTCCCCAACAAGATAGTAAAAGGCAATGGTAAAGAAGAGATACCATTCCGAGACTCTTCCCTCGCTTTTTGTCCAGCAGAAATGACAACTTCAAATGGAAGAGGTGCCAGAGATGACCAGTGTTCATGTTTCAAAGCTGCTACATCAGTACAAATACCTAGAAGACACAAAAGGTCAAGAACAATAGCTTCAGAAGAACTTTAATTAGAAAATAGCTGGTCATCAAAGCCAACGAAGAAGAGGAAACAAGGAATAAAAGACAGAAAACAACAAACTATCCATTTAAGTGACGTTAGAAAATAACCATGAATTACAGATGCTAAGTAATTCCTAACAAACTAAATTCTTAGCAATAAGGCATATAGCACAAATTACATCAGTATGACACCTACTTTACAAAGACAAAGTTGAAAGAGGAAAAGAGTTTCAGCATAGCTTGATACATCCAATTCCTCAAACAATTCCAAATGCAAAAATATGAATAGCAAGATGCAACCTGAATTGACACTTGGATTGGTATATAATGTCACAAGTGATTACCATAATGTACAGCTAAGCCCCAATAGCGAGCAAGCCAGCACCTCTTCAGAACAACCTCCTCCTAAATTGCCAAATCAACCCCCAAGTTGGAAAGAAAATGAAAGGGAAAAACAAAAAAGGGAAAGATATTCAGGAATCTGGTTAACATTTGTGTTATATAAGCAGGTAATAAAGACATCAGATTTATAACACAACCATTTCTTCATGAGTCAAAATCATTCTTTGGGTCATAACACGTAGAGCTTTTGCTTCAGATTCAGCTTCTCGCAGCTGCTCCATGGTATTCACTGTCTCATCTTTTAAATTCTGAATCAAAACAATAAAAATGATGAGAATGTTGTTTGATATCCTGTCAAAATAGCATTGCACTAAGCAACATTTGCTAACCTCAATCTCAGCACGTAGAGATGAAATTTGTTCATCTCTCCCATCCTTTGTCTGCTGCGCAGCTTTAAGAGCTGCCTGAAGCAGAAAATTTGGAGCAAAAAGACAACAGTCACTACATAATTTTTCTTGAAGATGGCAAAATATTAGGAAAACAAAAAGGAAAGTAGACAAAACTAGCAAAAAGCAAAGCTATAGTAGTGGCCCCCTTTCCTACCCAACCCCCCACGTAGAGAGAGAGAGAGAGATCATAGTGTTAGCATGGCTCTACATAATATCTAGCTTGTTGTCTGCCAGCATTTCAAGTATCAATCAGTAGAAAACTTTTATTGCAAATTCCACCAATCACATAGCTGTTACATACCTCTCTTTGCCGAATTGCTGCTTCCTTCCTGCAGAGAGTCATAGCTAACATTAGGGGTGTGCATCGAAATCGAATTAGGTAATTGGGAACTTTGAATTCGGAATTTTTTTGAAATTTGGACATCAGGAAATTTGATCAATTTCGATTCCGATTTCACACATTCCAATTTCAAATTTGTACCGAATTCAATTCGGAATTCGGTAATAATCAATTTCACCGAACTCAATTTGGAGTTTTGTTTTGTATTTCTATTTTTTTAATTATAATTACATATATGTTTTGCTAAACTAAATGCTAACTTTTGTATAATATATGCTTACAATTATAACATAATATACAACTAAATAAGACTTATTATTGTACTGTTAAATAATATAATTATTAGTTAGATGTATAACTATATAATATAAATTTTATATTACATATATAAAATATATATATATAACGAATTTGATATCGGAAATCAAATTCAAACCGATTTGAATTTCCGATTTGAAAAACACCATTACCGAATTCAATCCAAATTCGTATGTTTCAAATTCGGAAAACCCGATTTCCATCCCGATTTCCGATTTACCGATCTCGAAAATTCTGAATTCAAATTGAATTCGGTCGGTAAATCGGAATTTTTCGATTTTGCACACTCTTAGTTAACATTAAGCCAAGGATGTTAACAATGATGTAGAACTAACAATGATGTAGAACAGGAGAAACAAAGTAGTACCTGCTCAACAGCTTAGCTTCTAGAGATACTCCATCCCCCAGAGCAGCAACCTGTTAACGAAATAAGGAAGTTATCAAAAGAAATCAGGGATAAAAGTCTAAAATGGAAAGCCAGAAACTGAATGTAATGCCTACCTGTTTCTCCAACTCCCTGGCCCTAGCTTCGGCTTCTTCACGTTTTTCTTCTGCATGACGAAGCTGTAGGCAAAATAAGCTACCCAATCAAACTTAATGCACAAATAGCCGTCTTTATTTTTCCCCTCCAGGTACTTAAGTATTTCTTTTAGGCCAGGAAAATTGAACTGTTGGGACTTTGGAGGAAGATCATTTTCCTGGGGTGTTAAAATAGAGAAAATAATAAAGGAATACAGAAAGCCACCTTGTCAAGAATAAGTTCATTTTCCTCTTGTATCATGTCAAGCTGCAGAATAATATTCAACTCATTAAAACATGTTAAGGATCCTGATCATCCCTTAGAAATACAAAATATATAAGATAAACTTAGATGAGATGCAGTTCTAGATCGTCATACACTCTAATCATTTATGCTGATGATTCATGTACGCTAATAATGGAGTGCCTTACTTCATCTTGAAGTGCAGAAGCTTCATGTTCATTTCCAGAAGCTTTCAAGTCAACTAGTCCAACATCTGGTGTGAGCCTGAATCAATAACAACAGTGACACGCTATGACACCTTCTGATAAAACTCATTATTTTCCTTTACAGCTAAAAAGGTAATGACTGGATACATCATCTCCCATGTGATACCAGTAAAATGATACCTTAGATTAAGCAGTTGAACTACTAACATAAATGTGAAATTTTCAGGAGATCATGTATGTTTTATGAAAGGCATGCGAAAGATTCTGCCACATACCAGCAGTCAAGGCAGACCTTAACCACTTACAGAAGTGCTATATACCTAGTAATTAGCATTTGGCTCTATTTAGCTATCAGAAAGTACACTGGTGTCAGACATCAGCGCACAAAAGTTTTCACCAAGGATTTTATATGCCTTTGATCAATTCCTCTTTCAAATTTAATGAAGTTGAGAACGATATATTGCCAACAGATCTTTTGTTTCAATTGGATAATGAATTTAGTAAAAAACAGTGATGACTCATGTATTATGCAACAGCAGGTGGCTTAAAAGTACTAATCTGAAAATAGTTCAGATTATGATTAGCATTAGATTATTATTTTCCAAAAAAGACGGCTGATCACTCATATCAGGTTTCTGGACCTAGCAAACATGTCTTCCATTGCTCATATGTATAAGATTTTCTGGATCTAGCAAACATGTCTCGCATCCTCTAACTCTATTTGGGTTACCTTAACCCAAATGCAGGACAGATGCCTCTCTAGTGCATTCTAAGGAGCATATCCTTCCAAAACTACATTCCCCAGACCTGCACCCCCACCAACTTAACTCTTATACACATACACAAAGAAAACAAAATAATTAAAATTAGGTTAAAGAATGACACATGACAAAGGTTCATAAATGAAAATAAAAAGTCAGCCACACAGCTAAAGAACCATGACTGTAAGAAACACAGAAAGCCACCGAGCTTTAAAGAACAGCTAAACAAAGTACATCACCTCTTTTCTCGTAATCTGCTACTTGGAGGTTCTATTGGCGGGATGGTAACTGGAGTTCTCAGTGTTGTTTTATTCTGGGGCAAAACAGTAGTGGTGGTTGAACGAACAGACATTGAAGGCCTTCCAGCAGAAGTGGAACGTACTGAAGGCGTGTGATCCATAAAGTTCCGACCTAACTAAACATGATTACATCTGGTTAGCCATTAAAATCACATATAATCTTCATGCAGAAAGTTAGCAGTCTCAATTTCCAAAATTTGTATTTTGCACATCATTATTTGGTTTCAGACAGCAAAATAACTAAAACTCCCTAGAATTTCAGACAGCAAATCACCAAATAATCTTATTTGCACAAATTATCTTACAGCTCTCTTTGTTTCACTTCTTTACACCTTCCACAGAATCTTACTAGAAAATGAAAAATCAAATGAATTTCTTCAAAAAAAAATTTCGCATGATTTCAAATCCTATCATTTCATAAAATATTTTAATCACTGTTTCTACAAAAAGATGACATGGTCAGCAAAACATGTACACAGGTAGACTCTAACTGGTCCAAGATCATTGCATGAACAGTAATAACCAATGTGCACCTATACTAATAGCCAAAAAATTGCATGATGATGGGCAAAATTTAGATAATTAGAATATCTTCAGAAAATTATGATATCATTCCAAAAAGTCTCAGAGGACTCAAGACCATATTTTGCAATAAGAAATGCTACCACCTTCTAAGCATTTTGCTCGATAGTATAGCTAGCAATGTTCATAAAATAGTTCCTTCACAAAGCCTTTTTTATCTTTTTGCTTTTAAGTTCTTTACTCTGGCATAATTTTTGGCACTCCAGAGAAATTTCAATTTCAATATATATTCCAAATTCAAACAATCTTATTTTACTTGTTGAATTAATGGCATATAGCACTGACTCCTCCAAAATGCCGAATCAAAGCATGGCTTTTTCCAGCATACCAATTGACTTTTGAGCTCTTCACCTCATATCTTAGAGTCCATTGCTTCCAGTAAATATCTAGTGAGTAAAACTTATTTGAAATTTAACTGCAGAATTATCGACGGACAGTCCAGTTCCTCAGCTCAAAGCACGAGAAGACATAAAGCACCTAAATGACACCCAAAAAGAGAAACAAAAAGTAATTCAGAAAAGTTCAGCCTGATTACCGCAGGTGAAGGAGATCTATTCGGTTTGGCAAGCGAAGCAGCCGGGAATCCACTGTGACTGTTCCTATCAACTCTGCTACTATTCACATTACTAGAAAAACCGCTGGCAGGCGGCGGAGCACCAGCAAACCGAAATCCAAGATCATCATCATCGTCATCGTCATCGGCGGTGACCTGCGAAGCCATGACCTGAGCCAGTCGCTGCGCGGCGGCCTTGGCAGCAACGTTCTGAGTCCTTTTAATAGTAGACATCCCCCCTGTGGCCGGCGGTAGCCTCGATCGTGGATGCGCCGGTGATCCTGCAGGCGACGATGAGCCTGTACTGCTTGATCCCCCACTCCACTGCCGCGCATAGACCAGACTTTCCGTCGTCCTTCGATCCATTTCTCCGACTTCAAAAATATACAGAAATATATATGTGTGTGTGTGTGTGTGTGTACTACTATATGAATATATACGTATAGAGCTGTGTATGTATAGGTTTGGGAGCTAGATTTTTGGGAGGGGAAATTGAGCTAGATTTCCTCTCGGACGAGACTTGGATGGGAATTGGAAAAGCGTTGAATTTGGGAGGTGAAAACGCATGTCCAGGTAGAGAAATTTCTGAAACGCGGAGAAAAAGAAAAAGAATTGTCGTTAAAAGACTTTAAAGTCACTCTTTCTAGCAAGGTAAGCGGTGATGACCAGCATAGATTTGGGATTTGGAGAGGCGACAGGTGAGTAGGCGGGCGGATGCTACGACGTCGTTAGATTGTATTGTAGGGACGAGGATTTAAAATAAAAATGAAGAAAAATTAATATTTACACTCCAGCATTTGTAAATTTAGTTTCTTTCCACGCATTTCCACGGGTCATTTTGCAGTTAATAGTTAGTATAACTAGAAACTACAACACAAATTTTGAAAATCTAAATGTTGATTTGATAGATAAACTACTTTTTCATTTGGCATTCAAAAAGAGTTTGAAAATGAAAAGAATAAACTTTATCTCCACACTGAGCTAATGAAATTGAATAAATGGCATTGAGTGATAGGCTAAAAATAAGGTATTAACTAATGAAAAAAAGAGTCAAACTCCAACGTGTTAAGCAAAAAAATCCTTACTATATAAGATTGAGTTTTGATCAAAAAAATATATTAGATTTCAACCGCATAGGTGGGTCTTTTTGGGAATATGAAATGTTGTGTATTAGTTTAAAAGTTTTAGGTACAAGTTAAGGAAGCATGTATTTAGATATGTTTACTCAAGGACCCCATTTTAATACATTTAAAGTTGTCATTGATGAGCCATATGAGTATTGATGGAATGTGTAATTAGTGTACAACCATTTTTGTATTCCATCCGTCCCACTTTGATAGTTCTATTTTTTTTTTCACACAGTTTAAGAAAAAGTAGTTAACTTTGTTGGAAAAGTAAATTCAGATTGTTATTTTCCTAAAATACCCTCACATTAAATATGGCACAACTTTATGGGAACTTGAATTGATGGTAAAAAAAGAATCAACTCTCATTAAATGGGATAGGTTTATAGTAACAACTACTTACATTGAATAAGGGTATTTTAGGAAAATTAAAATACAACTACATTCTTCAATTGGAAATTGGACTATAATTTGGGACAGATGAAAAAGGAATACAGGACTATCAAAGTGGGACGGAGAGAGTATTATGTAGAACCCATATATGCTTGTGTGTTGGTGTAATTACCGGAATATCTCTTAACTATCAATAATTTCACTTTTCAGCCGCAAATAATCGTTTGAGATATTGCTTTGTCTAAAACATTTGAATAGCAATCGGATTTAGGAAATGAGCAAACGATTTCTCTATCAATAGTAGGAACCCATTTCTCTATCATTTATAATCTGCATTTATGAGTCACAAACGTTAGTCATTTTATCCCCTTTCAGGTTCAGGAGTTAAGTTTTCTCATTTTGTCTTTGTCTACAACGATTTGCCTCTTCCGTCCGAGCTCAACTCTGAAATTACCTATTATTTCGTCATTAATTATACCCAATTCAATTGCCGAACTATTGGTATCTTAATGCTTAAACGGTTGACTATCAGTTTCTTTCTGTTCGCATTCTAGAATTGAGATAATTCTATCTGATTTCATACTAATCAAATCAGAATGCTCTTCAGTCCCTGCTACTCCTGGTGGTTCAACGTGAGATTATATTTCACCGCCCCCCAATTTTTCTGTTCCTCCCTTAATTTTGTCGGTGTGTTTTTAGTACCTACAATTAACGACTCTTATTGCGTTGCCTAATTACAAGATAGCATTTTTCGTGTTGCCTAATCTTAATTGGTGTGGATTGGTTATAATCTTATAGGTTTGGAGCAACAATAAGAAAGAGTTCTCGATAGGGATTTTGGAATAAGATTAGTTTTCTGTGTTGCTCTGCCTTTTTGCATTATCAACAACCTTCAATTTGACACGGTTTTATTGTAACGTTGTGTGAATTGATTGATTATATCATTTATCTTTTCATACTCAGTTTTATTCCTTCTCACAATGTACTATTATTTGTTCAATAAAAAATTTCCTTCCCCGCAAGCATCAAATACCCGCGCGATGCGCGGGCACTCCCCCATAGTATGTATATATATGTGTGTGTGTGGCCAAACTCAATAATAAAACCAAGGGAAAAAGAGTGATAGGAGTAACCATATAGAAGAAAAATAGGGAGAGATTAAAAAAAAAACACACACACACGTAAGATAGAGAAATAACACAGAAAATACAACAAATTTCCTAATGGTCTTGCCATCAATAATGGGCACAATAAGATTGAATTAATAATCAGGTCAAATAATAGGAGTATAAAAATAGGAAAAAATGTGACTAGTTTTAGATTTTCCTACCCATAGATAAAAGAAAAGAATATTATGATTAAAAGGAGAATTAAAACCATGAACTGATTGGTTGATTGGCTAATTGATTAAATAAGAGGAAATGTATGAATAGTAGAAAGATATAAAAAAGTAAGGGAGTAATAGATCGATTGGAATTTAGAGAACGTAAAGTTACGTAATGGTATAATTTATGTGTTGTGTATCTAATTATAATATTATATATATTGTTCATGTATATAAGATTAACTCTAGTTTTAAATAAAAAAAAACTGGTAATAACTGATTGGAATGATAGGAAAAACGATAGCTAGTCCAAATTTGGATAATAGTTGTAAATGATCAAGCAAATAATATGAAAAGAGAATTAAAAAGAAAAGCTATGAGTTGACCTGAAAAAAAAATAAAATAGTACTAATAATTAATACAAAATGAAGATAAGGTACGAAATTGATAATTGAGCGAAATTTACTGTAAATAAATAATGAAGTGAAAAGAATTGCAAATTAATTGCGAAAAAAAGAAGAAGAAGAAAGAATGGAATCCGCCAAAAAACATATGAACAAACACGAAAGTTTTGATTGGTACCCAAAATTGTGGAAAAGGAAACAAACTACGGATGTTCAAAGTTTAAAATAAATTCCACAGAGATTGGAGAAAACACGAATCCAATCTTCTGGTTGGTAAGCAACTTCAATCCAACAGTCTCAGGCTGCTGGTCGCCCAATTTAATTTGCCCCTCAGTGCATTGGTGTCAGGCGAGCTGGGGTGGCTGAATGACAAAAGATGCTTTGGATCGAGGTTCACTGTGGTGCTATTATGGTGCTGTTGTAGTTCCTCACCGCGGAGGAGCAACTTCTTCAAGTCACTACAGGTAGAAAGCTATTAGACAGTAGTATTCTTTTTGGGCTCAACCCAACGCAGCAGTATGGGCTAATCTCATGGTGCCACAGCCCTCCCCCAACGAGTCTCCCCTCCAGCCTCAGTAATTTCCTGCCCTGCCAAATGTCAGCCTGGATGTCTGCATCTTGAACTGCCAGTGGCCATCAAATTAATAATCTTTGAATTATTAGAGTCCTTTTATCGATTAAGAGAGAGAGAGAGAGAGAGAGAGAGGGGAGAATTTAGATCAACTATCAGTTTCAATAAATTACGTTCTAGAGAATGCGTCAATCATATTCAAACCTAACCCTCAATCTTTGGAAGAAAGGGAAAGACTACTAACTAAAGGTGCAGGCTTTGACATGGTTTACACAATTTCTCCAAACAAAAAGAAAAAGCGATCCTCTTAATTCCTACCATTTTGATTGTTATATTAGTTTTTTTTGAAAATTTTACTAACGATCTAATGCATATAACGTAACGATTTATCTATCGCATGTTTGTCACAGGGTCTAGACTTCTGTTTTGTTTGATGACCCAAATGTCCGTTGGAATTTGGACAGTAGCAAATTGACAAAAAGATGCGTAGTTTTCCACCGAGAAGTTTAAGTTCTCTTTCTTGTGAAATCTCTACAACGTTTCCAAGTGATTGCCATCCTCAGGGTCCCCATGCCTAGGCATATAATACTACAAGATTGTGTTGGCTGTCAATAATCTTTTAGAACCACACTGGTATGACTACGGGACGCTTAGGACAGCGACGTTGCCGATGCCTTGGCCCGAAGCTACTCCAAAACAAGTTCTGATCAAAGAAACTATCGATGTCAGAATCAAACAATGACGGCTAATTCTGAACTGCAAATCACATGAGTGCGCTCAAGAGAGAAGATTCATTACAAATTTTTTTTTTTATTTTTATGATATGAGATAAAATAATATTAGTTAAAAATACGCTTTAAATTCTGTAGGCACAGTCATTTGATTTGATGTTTTCGCCAATCATGTTTGGATTGCAACTTTTTTTTTTATAAAAAATGCACTATATCAAACAAATTAATATATATGAGATAAAAAAGTAATTGAAAGATGTGTTAACAAAAAATGTAAAAAATTTGTCATGAAAAATAGCTTTCCAAACAAAGTCTTTAAAAAATAGTAAGTTTTTATATACACTGCCAGCATATATATACTATCACCGTTTGATTCATGACGTGTGCAAAAGTTAAATTTTAAATTCAAATTTTGCATAATTGTCATTTATCCAACGCTAAATATTTAAGAAATAACTTTCCAAACAAGGCCTTTAAAGAAAGAGTAGACCTTATATACACTGTCAGTGTATGAAAAAAAATTAATCATTTATAAAAATATGTACGTGGAAAATTTTTTTGTTACAGTATTCTGCATGGACCTAGACGGAACGTTTCCTCTCACAAATGCCAGGAGAATTTCAAGGAATCTCAGCAGTTTTTTATTTTCCTTTTTGATTCGGCATTTCTGAAAAGCATTAAAAGTCCTGCTCATCTCTTCATTACTTTTTCCGGCCACATCTGATTGGGATTGTGGGCCCAATCTGATAGGAGTGAATAGCGGTAAACATCTCTAAAATAAAAATAAAAATAAAAACGCAACGGCTTCAGGCGAAATAA